TTTGCGTCCAGCCCTCTGGCCCCTCTCCGCTCCACCACAGCTCTCATTACCTCTTCGTCTCTTTCTCAATGACATGCAATGACCAGCCATCAGTTCCTGACACCTTGATATCCTTCTCTCTCCTCGCATGCTCCCTCCTCTGACTCATGGTGATGCACTCTTTGTCACTCGTTCTGTCACCCTTTCCTTCAGTTCTCCCTCCCAATTTTCTTTCTGCCTTTCATGCAGCTAGCTCATCAGTAAGTCTTACTCCTCTTTTTCCTCTTTATTTTTTTGTGCTCTTTTTCTGGTCTCTGGATCCTTTTAACAAGTTTTAGATACATACAGCACATGCCAAAAATGTTTCTATAGTCAGCCATGACTGTATCTGTGGATTTCTGTTCTCTTCTCTCTTTCATATTTTTTAGGTTGGTTTTATCCCGTTCCATTAATTTTTCCTGTGTCAAGGTTGTCTCTATCCTGATGCACATTGTACAATGCGAAAACTGTGACATTCACACAGACACTGTCGACACATTCAGCTAATAACTCTCCCTTTGGGGCCTACAGTGCAAAAGTCAAAGGGGGTTGAGGCACATCATTAGTAGAGTCGGTATACCGGACTCTCCTCATTGTGTCAAGGACCCGGACAAGTATTCCTGTCCATGTTTCTCATCCCACTGTGGCCCATAAAGGCACCGAATCCTATTTTCTGCTTTTGCCTCTCTGACTCTTCATAATCTTACACACATCTCTTAGACTGGCATGTCCACCAAGTATGTCTTTTCATAGTTATGGTCTGAGATTTTTGTTGTTTTTTTTATTCAGGGAAGAAGATCTAAGTGGGAAAGCTAGACTTAAACAATGTTTTGTCTTTTAACATTGCAGCAGTTAATCTTCAGTGTGGATTTACTCCAGAGCAACTATACTATGTTAAAATATGCTAGCTGTCAAGGAATATATTTTCTTTGTGTTTAGGTACATACCAAAAGTAACTGTACAAATGACATTCAACTGTATGAATTCTCAAGAATTCCTACTGAACACAGTTGGATATTTTATAAATTCAAGTTTCAGATTCTTTGGGTATCAGCAATGTTTTTCTTTGTCAATTTATCAATATATTGATTTCAAATATAATTTCAGATAAGTTTTGTGCTACACCCAAAATAAATATAGACCGTTCATGAATACGAAATGGCCGAAAGACACCACATAATAAAAAACTGGTAAAGCTAAAGAGACATAACAGTATAACAGTGTAACTTGATATTATTCTGAAGTGTTAAGCTTGTTCCCTTTTAAGTATGGTGATTGTTGATGTAGATGAATAATGTTCATCAGTTTTGACTGATAACCAGCACGGGGACACTTTTCTTTTTTTTCAACATGAATGTATGGAAAGAACCCCTTGTGTTTTTAATAAGGTGAAAAAGAAGATAAAGGTTTCCTGTACAAACACTGTATTAATATGATTATGGCCTGGCAGCTTTCTTTCCATTTTTGTATGTGGGGATAGTAGTTGTCCTTGTGTGACTCTGAAATGAAATAAACAAGAACTGAGCATGGGTGGATGGGAGCTCTTTTTAAACAATGCTGTAATTTATTTGTCAATATACTTTACATATTATCTACCAGGGGGTCCTGAAATTGGGGCTGTCTCTTGCTGACTGACTAGTTTCCGACGCTGTGTCCCTGCTGCTCCCTCTCTGTCTTTTCTAAAAGGCTTCTAGCTATTTCAAAACAGTCAATAAACAGTGTATCCAGCATTTGGCTGGCGAGGCAGGTTTAACCCAGGAGATGACATTCAGTACAGAGCCATAATCATTGCCTCCTAATGAATTAAATAGCCCTGACATTTCACAGTACAGTGCTTGTCCTTTTCCTGCCACTGCTCTGCTGTTGTAGCCCTCCTTTCATGCATTATGTTACCCTCTTGTTCTTCCTCCTGTGTTGCTTTTCCACGTGCCTTCTGGCCACTTGCTGTGGCTCGCCACCCCTTCATCCACTGTTCATTTCTTTCCCACCCACCCCTCCTTCTCTCATCAGTCGTCTACTCATCGGTATGCGATGGCATGCCCCGCTGTCTGTGCAGGCAGAGCTGAGAGTGAACGGGAGAGGGAGCGAGTCGCTGTTTAGCAGAAGAGACAGAATCCAGCTGGAGGGTCACAACCCTAAATGACCTTCAACGCTCACAGGCACGCTCAAAAAGTCACGCGCCCACACTTCCCTGATGACAGGAGCAATAGGTCATGTGCCAACAATGTTGGAAGAGGCAGAGGGAAATAAAGGGAAAGAGATAAAGCCGGATTAAAGAATGAGGTGGAGGTGTGCCTGCTGAGCCGTTATTGGCCCGTGGTGTGGTGGGAAGATGTTAATAGTTGACGGAAGGCTTAAGAAATGAGGAAATATGGGGGGCATGGCTGTTGGCAGAAGAGTGCTTTTGCTATTGTCAGAAAGTCTCTTGTCCGAGGATACAAATATCATTGCAAATTTACACGCAATGGAAAGGCCAAAAAAACAAACATTGGATAGATAATAAAGCCCTCAGGTGACACTGCATTGAAAAGAGACATTATCATGTTCTGGAAAACATTGCCCAGGAACACATCGTGACAACCCCTGCATATAAATATAGTCTCTAGCTACATCATCAAACATCAACATCCAGATGTCCTCTACTGTTTCTGGGCGGCAGCCTGTTATACATGGACTGAGCTGAGGGACTGTGATGGTCTGGGGACCTGTCCAGGCAGTGTACTATTTACCATCAATGCTGGACAGTACATGCTGCCTGGAGCCCAGATGTGAATGCTGCCAGTTCCATTCACAAATCCATCACCATACCATCAGACATGCAACATTTTGAACTTTTGAACTGAGCACTGACAACATGCAAAATGGTCAGACCCACCCCCAATTTTATGGACTTATCACATATAAACCCTCTTATTTACACACCAGTCACGTGAATCTTTTAAATCTACTCATTTATCTTTTTTGACAGGATTTGCATGGGTCTGCTTCAAATGTATGAGAGTGATCCAGTTTCCTCAGTCAAACATAGATAACCACACTTGTGGACACACTCACACACAAACTATTTTCTCCTTTGATATGATCAAAATCATTCTCACTCATTTATCTCATGGGGCAAATAAGAAATGATATTGCCTCTGATCTTTAATGCTTGTCAACATGAAATATCTTGAGATTTACATCTCACATGACTAAAGACAACTTATAAGCGTGGTGGAAAAAAAGAGTAACAAGAGTTCAAAGCTTTAATCAGTGCTATTAAATACATCTTGATACTGCCAGGGTTTAAATTAGAAGGGAAGACCCGCTTCCCATGATTGTTTGGGTGACAGGGGAATTATTGAATACGATGTTTACCCCCCGAACAAACATAAACACAGTGCAATAAGCTCTTTAAAAAGTTAAAGATAAGTCAGCAAATGTAGAGAAGTTCAGAGCGACACACATTCACGTCCCCTGATGGAACTAAATAACCTCCGGGAAACTCAACGCACTTTTTTGTACAAAATATAGACCTTCTGAAAAATGTTTCCACGCGTCTGGAGTGCTCACCACAGCTGGAGAGACGATTAAGATGTTGGTAAAACGATCACACGTTATGTCCTGTTGTGTGTTTTTATTTAAGAAATGAATCTTATTGTTTTCAACCAGTGTACAATAAAGTTTTCTATAAGAAACTATCAACATCGTATATTCCATTGAAATTAAACAAAAACCCTCAAATGTTTTATTGAGGGGTTCAAGAGGTCAGTGATATATAAGAATATGTGATATATCATATCATAAGATGCTATATTTATACAAGGCACCCAAAATAAATGTAATTGTTTTACTCTCGTCTGATCGCCCGTGCACCGGAGCTATCGCGAGATGAGCGACGGTTACCATAGTGATACGTCAACAGAAATGATCAAACTATGGTACCAGTTATCATACTAATACGAACTCACAGATACAGTTTAAAATAAATGATTGTACGATCCCAAGAAGAAATTCACAGAGATCCAGGGTAAGTTTGACATTCTAAAATTCAGCAATTAACGGATGAAATGTAAATGCGGCATTCATTAACAAGATTGAATACAGCTGAGTTTCTTTGTTGTCTTTGCTGCTTAGGTGTGACAAAACCCCACAAAACCAAAAGCCCTGTGAGCCACTGCCATAACTGATTTGGCAAATCAGATGTCTGCCTAAAGCGGTTTATTTTTCTTAAACAACTAGTTTCGATCGCAAGCGACGTTTTACGTAATGTGAACGCGCGCGTCCAAAGGAACATTTGTTTTTTGGTGTTGGGTGTTTTTTTTTAGCTTTCGCTCTTTAACGAAATATCAACCCTGTTCACTTCTTATTAAAAATATCAATTTGATATCTTACTGAATCATAACGGATTTACCTTAACTTCCTGGATGGATTTGGTTTGCTATCAAAGTTAGTTAATTGGGAAACGAGTTCAAATAAATTGGCTTTTTATACAGTCTCAGTGGACAGTCTTAGTGGTCATATCATTACTCGCTTTCATGCTTTTCTCAAAGATAGCAAGCAAAAAAAAAAAGTTCAATCTGAAAACGTTTATCAGACACTCACCTTTCCTGCCATAATGCTGCAGCTACCAGCTTAGTTTTGTATAGCTTACGTTGTGTTTCCAAAATAACCAATTTGGACTACTTGATTCGTCTTTTAAGATCATGTTCCTGAGGAGTATGTAAATTATCATCCACATGGCTTCAAGTCTTAAATCATAACAAGATAATCAGTGATTATCACTCGATGCATGTGGTTTTAAGTTTAGATTTGATTAAAGTTTTAGGATAAATTGCTGCCACTTTGAGTTTTAATCTTGAAGCTATAACTTCAAGACTTACTTTTCCTAAATGATTCGAACTGTCTATACAAGAAAACATTGTGTTTTTATGCCTAAGCTTTTGCAGGAGAGAAGTCCCCCTAAAATAAAATCAGGACCATCTTAGCAGCTACAAGGAAGGATGAATTTAAATGATTTTGTGGTGCTTCCTAGCAACAAAACCATATCCGTCAAGCTCAATGCAAGGTAAGTGAAGATCAAGAATTCAATTTAAGGTTTTTGGTTAGATCTCAACTTCACTACAATGTCTTTTTCATTTGTGTAGTTATAAAAAAGAAAAGAGAAACAAAAACATCTATCCATTCTGATTTTGCAATGCTAAATTTAGGCCCGTCTCCAACTGTTCTTGCTTGCCTACAGATAATTGAGTGATTTTCAAACTGTCATCAGCCTGGCTGATGACAGTACACTGATCTAGTAACTAATTGAATAATATATTGATCGGCCATAGCAGCTAGGTGAGGCTAGCTAGTGAAGATGTATTGCACATATATGGCTGAAAGCCTGGTTGTCTGTTCTGGAGGAGTAGGTCATTTGTACAATTGATTGCTGATGGTTTGCATGTGTTTGCATTTGTTTTTGTTGCCGTAGGAATATGCAGGACTTGCAGATGGACACTCTGGCTTTGGGCAATGAGAGCATGGCGATGGAGGAGAAACTGCAACAGCTTAAAGACAACATGAGTAAAGAGAAAGAGGAGAGAGGGTAAGTACGAGTGCTTCAATAAGGGCTAATTAAAACTCCATATAATTGAAGACACTGTTGATGTGGGGTAACATTTTCTCTAAAATAGATGTATCTTGGCTTGTTAATTTTCATTATGACTTTATTAACAAAGTTTGTAATGAAAAAAGTAAAGAGAAAGAAGTGAAATATTATGTTGTCACGGGTTATGCATACTCATTCTCCTGTCCCTATCTTGTCCTTATTCATGCACTCAAATTACATTTTGGCCACAAGGAATTATGGCCCAGAATGATATCCTTTCTGTCATAACTAATGATTTTGTGTATCTTTGGCAAAAGGAAATTATTGAGGAATCACTGGAGCTCCCTTCCTTTCCAAAGCTGAAATGTTTTTCAATCAGATCAAAAGATTCCAAAGTCATACGCACTAATCGACTGGGCCCCCTGTTCCAGAAATGTTTGTGTCTTTCTGCTGCGCTTTAATTAAAAAAACAAAAACAAAAAAAAACAGCCTGTTTATGTATCTATTAGCTTGATCTGCATTTCTCATTGATACATATGTTTCTACAAATGAGGGGAAATATGGAACAGCCAAAGAAAAGGGGAGCTGGGCCGCAAGTAGATTCCCAAACAGTTGGAGAGCAAACATAAGGCCCAATCTCTGAGCAACAGATTAGCTTTTTTTTCTTGAAATATCTTGACTAGTTCCTGGGTCTGTTTCCCATCTTTCCTCCGATGAACTGTCACTAACGAATGAAGACTAAATTGTAAAGATAAAGGCTAATTTTGGGATAATATATGTACAAGCAGAAGACATGATGAAATGGAAAGGTGTGGGGAACAGAACAAATGAGTATTGATGAAACACAGATGTGCGGTTTTAGGCAAAGAAGATGGGAACCAGCTGCAAAAGAATGAGAAACACAAGAAGTAGAGACACAGAATAATAGAGATAGATGGAGTACGACACCAATTGAGAGATGGGGGACCTAATGACTCTGCTTGCTGTAAAGGTCAAGAAAAGGTTTCTGTGCGAGAAATGAAACGGCAGAAAGAAAAGTGGGAGAAAAAGCATCTCATAGATGAGCTACAGGCTCGTGCTCATTAAGTGCACTCTGCTTAAGCGGAGCAGCATTTCTTGTACAGCTTTATGTCCTTTGAGTAACTACAAGTTGAGGCTTACACATTTTCTGGTAAAACATATCAATAATGCTTGTAGTCTTTAAATGTTCCTTTCTTAATACTAGCCTAGACATAGTTATAAACATATAGTTTAGCTCTCTATAGAAATTCACTGTTCCCAAGAGACGCACGTGATATTCACTGTTAGATGTGTGGAAGTCAGTTAGATTTACAGTGTATGTATATATACTGTGAGGAAGATAAATATTTGAATACCCTTCTATTTAGCAAGTTCTCCCACTTAGAAATCATGGAGGGGTGTGAAATTGTCATTGTAGGTGCATGCCCACTATGAGAGACATAAACTAAAAGACAAAATCCAGAAATCACAATGTATGGTTTTTTAAACTTTTTATTTGTGTGACTCAGACGTGAGAATGGCATTGCTACAGATGTTCCCTGATCTGTTGACAGTCCATGTTTGTGTACTTACTGCATTTGTTTCTGTATTGTGTACTAGAGATGTTCTTGTAAACTGGGTGCCCTCTACTATAATTAAGTAGCTATATATTGGTATGGCGAAAGGAGCATTTTGTCCAGGCTCTACAAATGATAAGCACAGAAACTGTGTTTTCTGTCACGCTGAAATACTGCAACATTTACTGCTCCACTTGTTCCAAGATACAAGATTCATGGATGGCTGCTTGGGCGTATATTTGAAGCTGGCCGTCTATAAATAATGGCAATAGTGTGTGTGTTAATGTCCAGAGATTTACATTTGCGTGTTGGCAAGTGTGATTGACTTGGAAAAAGACAGCAAGAGTTTGAGTAGGAGCATGCCTGACTCGAAATTCATTGCTAGCTCAAGCTACACTAAATGTAAATAAGTGAAATAGTTTATTGTGGATATGATGGCTGAGAGTTATGTAACTGAGAAAAAGTGTAATTTTTACATTAGGATGCATGAATATTCCCGTTTCTGCATGCAGGAAATGACAGGCATTGGTTGATTTATAATGCTTTTCTAATGTGCTTGCATTGCAGTGGTGTTACTAATCAGTCTTAGCTGTGCAGTTATTAAAGACTTCAGCAAAAGAGAAAGGGGACTATCTTTCTACTTCCACATATCCCACTACAGGCAAATATCTGTTTCTTCAAAGTTATGATGTGTGTTCACCCTCTTTTGGTCAGCATTCCTAATGATTCAGAGAACCAGGATGAAAATAACTTGCACATTTTGAAGCAGTCATTTTCCACATGATATAATCGGTCACATAAATGAAATAGGTCTTGTACATCAGGCTCTCACGTTCTACTTCCACATTAATTTGATTGAATTCCCATTATTTCTTTTCAGTTTGTGGTGATGGAATGGTCTAATATGAAATCCAACTTAAGTTTGAATCATCAAGTCTCTCGTCTTTTTAACAGGGCAAAAAGCAGTTGATGATTTAGTCATCTGACTGACTGATAGTTTGGCATTTCTGATTCAGCAGTTGTTTTCTTTCCAATGTGTCTCCTTTTTTTGCCTCCCACTTTGAAGATAACACAAGTGTACATTCGACATGTCTTTACTGTAGATCTCCATGCTCTGATTTATGCCCAGGCTTTGCATTGAAGTAACTGTCTTTGTGATGCATGGCACTGTTTTTCTTTTTCTGTCCCTTGGACTACTGAGCACCCGGAGTAGATCAATTGTTAATCTTTGTCTTACAGTTAATCTATGCATGCACACTCTAATGCAAAAATTAGATGAGGTGAACAAATTTGGTTATCAGAAAGATGGTGTGGTATAATCGGTTTGTGAAGGGTATTGGGCAATAATAAAAAGCTTTGGGCAAACATGGTACATCATGCTCAGTTGTACCTCCCTACCTTTAATGTAGCTTTTTCTTTAAGCCCTTATAGCTCACAGTGACTACTGCTTCTTCTTCATAAAGTACTATTGAGGTTTCAGTTTGTATGTGCACGTATGATTCGACAATTTAACCTGACAAAACATCCAAGCATTCTTTCTTGTGCTCTTTAAAATATTTCCTGTCTATATAATTCTGCACTTTGGTAAATGTTTTTTTCCCATTTAGGAGCAAAATTTGCAGCATGCAACTGTGTTTGAAACTGTAATCACATAATACAAATATCTCTGTGTAGCGTGGATATTGTGGAGTTGTGTTTAATGATTTCTTGATGTAATTACAACTTTTTCCTATGAAAAAAAAGACACCATGTAAACAAATTTGCAGTCTTCTAAATGAGTCTTTTTGGGTTAATAATTCATACACAAGGGATATGGCTTTCATGTCTTATGTTTTACAATCATGACCACAGATTTTTACATTTTAGGCACAGGTTTCCCAATGATCTTTCTCCATAGAGAAGAAAGGAGGCTGCTGATATATACAGGGCATATTCCCACAGGTGAAGATTGTATGTCAAAACATGTATTGGTCTTCAGAGCCAAGTCACCAGTTAGCATTGGTTCAGTTCACTTGAACTTAAGCTGAAATATTACAAGCTACTATTAACACTACAAATCAGAGTTATCAAACTTAGAGTTAAGTTGAGTCACACCATGAACAGAAAAAGGGCTGTTTGTACACGGCTTGCTCATTTCTGTGGTGCTGACTCAGCAGGAGTTCCTGATGTTCAGGGTGTATTTGGAAAAATAAAGACATTAATTTCCCCAGCCTCATAACAGTATTTATAGAAGTATTAAAAGAGAATAATAACAAAAATAGCTCCTCATGTAGCTTGTTTCTGGAATTACTTTGAATTGCTCTTGCACATCCTGCAATTTTTGTAGCCAACAATTACAAATGGCACATCTAGAATCATACAAGCAGTTTTTATCTTGGATTTGATTGGGCACCTTTTGGTATTTGTACCTAGAAATAGGTTTTGTGAATGCAGTCCCCAAATATGCACGATCAGACACGCGTCTCTCTCTCTAGGTTGCCTGTCCTGAGGGGGCAGCCTGTCATCCTACACCAGCAGGGGCATGCCTCAACTGTCACCTCTAGCAACAGTGAAGTTGCCTAGGTGATGTTAGTAGGATGATTACCTGACACCTGCTCTCAGTGTCAGCATAGCAGAGCACAACATCAGGGTACTGGCACACCTTGCCAGTACACCCACACTCTTCCAAACTGACTTCCTTTGCCCTGACAAGCTGCCAGCTCAATCCAAAATAAACTTCTTTCAAAGACAGCCTGACATCACAATAGCATAAATACTATAAATAATTTAACACTGTGAGCATGAATAACTTGGATCTAAATGAGGATCTCTCGACACATCTTTCCTTTCTGCAGCTGAAATGGGTGTCCTGCATCAGTTTTGTTTATGTGTGGGCTTGTATGTGCATGTTTTCTATCACAATTAAGCAATCAACCTGCATGTGTGTGTATGTATTTATAATTTAACTTTAGCCTTTGTTTGACTCAAGCTATTTTGCCAATATATTTTTTTCTTTCTCATTTGTCAGATATGGAAGGACATTTAAATGACACATTCAAGGAGTGTGACAGCAATGGACAATTTAGGATTTCATGATAAGGAAGCATAGCTGTATTATTTGTTTTACTGAGACATGAAGGCAACAGCTAAAGAGAAGGGATTATAGTGCTTATTATATATATCTGTATTATAGCTTAACCTGTGAATTACAGTGTTTGTAACAATGGTCCTTAAAAACAAGCATATGTTTTCAGACCCCAGATGTGAAACCTTCACCTGTGAGTTTCTGGCTATGTTGTTTTTTCAGAATATGGAGCTTTGGCAGATAGATTGATCCCAAGTGACAAACACCTTATTAGATTCATAGGGATACCTGAGGATTCCAACTACATTTACTGTACTATGTCAACTAAGTCTCTTACTCTATTTCTTGGCAATATA